ACTGGGTCTATAGATGGTGTTGACCCGATAGGCCGAAGTGTTACTCGGAAATTTTCCGATATTGGCCGAACTGACGAAAGGCCTCTACAACATTACCAAACATCCATAGAGACTTTGGATTGGACAGATTTCGGAGCCTTTAACGTAGAAAATATTTCTCATTTCCTTTTCAATAAAGATTTAGTTAAATATAAACACGTAAAAAATAGCGATATGGACCGACGTTTCGGAGTCTTCATGACGCCAAAGGCCAAATGCCAAATTCACCAAGGAGCCTAGAAAAGAACGGCATGCTTCCTTTCCTTGGCACTCAACTACTTAACCGTGCGCCCCGAGTGGAAACCAAAGTTTAAGTAAAACCAACTAACGCAGGTCTACTATTACACTATCAAAACCACGTAGACAATCGTTATAAATGGAGCTTGCTTGATCGCGCACACCGATTATCTTCCTCATGGACGTATTTTTCTGACAAGTGTGATCGCCAAGACTTTAATACCTACAACGTCTGATTAATTCCACCTTCAACAATTTCGTTCATTTAAGAGTAGCTTGCCAAAACCCCTCACAGGCGCCAAAAGAAACAAGGGCCATTGTTCGAGTGTTCATACCACTAAAGGACCAAGAGTCAGCAAATTATGTCAAGAAACAACTCAAGGACCTCAGCCTACAAGGACAGACAACTTTCCAACCCGTGTTCTTCAGCCGTAAAATCAACCAAGACCTAAAAGTAAAAGAGAAAAAGCCACAGGTCGTAAAACAACAACGCGTTGTTATCTAAAACCTTATAAGGTCTATACCATGAAGATTCTTCGGATTAGTGCGTTTTCCCGAACCTGAATTACAGAAGGCTTTTATGGAATAGACTGAGAGCCAAACTTATCTGAACTAGAGAAGGGTCACATGACACCCCCGGACCACACCATATCCATGCCCCACCACAGGAACACCCCCTATATATACCCAACCCTAGGACTACCCCCCCTCCCCCCAGCTATGCCCCTGTACCTCCACACCATCCACTGAAAAGTTCGCTTTTTTTTTTTCCTTTTTATTTTTTGATGTAATGACGAGACTTTTTAGTTTTATGAAATTTGACTCTGACAACGTCGAAATGACGAGACGAGATCTTAGTTTTATGAAATTTGATTTAATTAATGTTCACGTCAGCCATGCCTGATGGATCCGCGTCACAATCGGTGACATTCAAATCACCCGACACTTTCGGTGGGTTTGGTGTGCAAGTGTTGCAGCTGATGGCCAGAACTACTGAAATTATAGGGTTAGTTCACAAATTGATTCCCAAAATTTATCTGGTTATTTTATCGTGAACTATCATTCAAGGATCGATTACGGCTTGAATTAGACATTATTCAACCTCGTTATCGAGGGTGGAAAAGAGAGGACCCTGCAAACGAGGCTTTGAATGTTTTTGTACAGACCTTCCCGCGAAAGATGGCGGAGAGCGTAGGGATTGAGATTCACACATTTTCATCTTTATTTCGATACTACGTTTTTTTCCAGTTATCATACTGTTAATACTTAGATTGTTAGCTCTCTCTAGCTTATTAGACGATTCGCTGCTAGAAGCACTTTCTCTATCAACAATTGTTTGGAAACACCAGCTAAGAAAAGCTACTTGTCAGCCAAACATGACATATTTGACATGGAATATCAATGTTTTTACGGAAAAGCCTTCGATAATAACCAACAACAACGATACCACTATAACGTAATTACCTTTTTTACCGATTTTCTGCAGAAAGTGGAATCGAAATGATGCAGTTTGATCCTTGCGCTCGATATAGAAAAGGATACTCCGCCCGAAATAAAAACAATATTTCTCACGGGACTGAGGTCGTTAATATTTTTAATTATTTAAAAAAAAATTCATCTATTTTAGCGTCTACAGAGTGGTATGTTGCTTGCACCAATCAGATCTTTTAGGGTATGTATCTCGCACAAATCAGAGCGTAGTTTATAATCTTTGGTTTGAGAGGTGTTCAAATTTCAACGAAGTAATGAGGGATTTGGAGAGAGCGGTTCGTAAAATGGAATCATCTTTCAGAATGAGAAATGATGGCTTTTCTGTGTTTTTTAACGTATATTTTACCGCGCTTTATGAGAAATGAGATGCTACTGAACGGATGAAAGATATCAGATCACCTATAGTAAACGTGTTACTCTTGCTGCTAAAATGGTGGATAGTTGTTCGAGAGAAAATGGAGTCCTGTACACTATAGCACGATCATGGTTATTGTTCCTTCACGACGAGAGTGAGTAGACAAATTTTGAATCAAATATTGCTTGAGGTGTTGATGAATTGCACCAAACATTTTGATTTGAGCAGTTCTTTAACGGCAAGCTGCGTTGCAAGATTCATGATTTGTTGAGTGTGCCGATTATATTTTGATTGGTTTGCTCGGTGCTACCTGTAGATGAATGTCTGATTAAAATTAACTTTGGACGATTTTTTGTGGCTCCTAGGAAGCTTTGTCGCCTCGTGTGACATCGTTTTTGATTGATGTGCAATGTTAAGAGGTGTTTTCATTGAACAACGATTTTTTTACGAAAGATGGTTGGTGGTTTGGTTGCAGTCAAATTCATGGTAAACATCGTTTTTTTTGTAATTTCTTTATTTTTTTGGCATTTTACAAAACATTAATCGACTTAAAATACACCACAGGACTCAGTTACAATACGTCACCTACAATAATTTACTGAGAACACACTACTAACAAAGTATAGTTTACAATGAACTTGATTACGGTAGATGACTTACTTTCGATTACTTACAATACGTACACAATACTCGACATTTACATTATTTTACGACATATTACACTACTTTCAATACGTTACGGTAAATTACTTTCAGTATCATACTAATAGTATATAGCGAAATCGTATGCTTTACAATAAAATTTGATTTCTTATGCTACTCTGCATTGTTTGGACGACACCCATCCCACAAACCGATATGTGGCAAAAGCTTATCCCATTTCTGAAAATGTTTAGCTAATTTATTCCGCTTTGCTGCTATCTTCTTTTCTACCTGGTATATCTCCCCGATCTTGGCCTTATAAACTCGTATGGAGGGATTCTTAGAATTCAATTTACACTTGTTATATAAAATTTAGCTATCAGTATTAGATGATTTAGAATAATAAAGTACTCTTCCGCATTGAAAACTCCAAAAACTATATCCATTATTGTAAATGTTTGAAAGTTAACTTGACATTCACCAAGCCAAGAACAGAAAGCTTCCCAGAAAGCCTTTGTAACATTGCAGTAGAAAATATATGTTCGAAGGATTCAACTTCTTGATTACAAAAAGTACATAAAGGCGAATGCCTATGTTATAACCTAGACACCGGTGATCCACACTTATGGTGAACTGACCGATTTATTCTTCAAGCTTGTGGAGGTTTCCGCTGGGATTCTCGTTTCGCTAATAACAGAATTACAGATTTCTGTTTTGCAAATCATAAGCATATTTCCATTTCGCAAATTACAGATTTCTATTTTGCAAATCATGAGCATATTTCCATTTCGCAACTGACAGAGTTTCACTTCGTTTTGATTTGACTCCCACCGATGAAGCACCACAGTTTCTTTAGAAACTTACCCCTTTTATTTATCCAGTAACGTAATGCTTCGTTCAATGATCTGACCTGATCTCGAAGTTGCGCTAATCGTAAAGCCACCTCGTTTCCTTCATTGTATTTTCGCATAATTGTCATGTGGAAACCAGCCATAAACTTTTATGGGAAAGACGCATCGTGGAGAAATCGTCAAATTTAGTTCTAAATTTGTCTGTGACTAATAGGAGACAAAGTCTTTGATTAATCTTTATCTCAAGGATATGAAGGATTTAAATAAAAGGTCTTTTGACAAACGTACATACATTCGTTGGTCGGCTTTTGGTGAGAATTCAAAGCTTTAACAAGACAGTGCAAAGAAAAGATATCACATGATTACTCTTGGCAGCGTACGAAAGGTTAACTTGAGTATCTATGCCCAAATCCGCTCAGTACATAACGAGTAAATAATCTTCCACTAGGATGCACGCTGGTAATAAACAAAGTCGCACCAATTGAAGCACAAATTGAACCTCCCTTGTTCGTGGGGGGGATCATTATGATATTACAGAGCCTTATGGAAGGATCAGGTTAATTTTATCGTGACGTTACCAGAATCCTTCGGCCCCTGCTTCATAACCAGGTATTCTTAAAATCGCTAGGCTACTTACTTTTTAGCGGTGCAGTTAGATATAACTCGACTAAGATCGAAGGAAATACATATAAACAGTTAGATAACTCGATATAATATTGGAATGGAACCAATAACCTGAGTAAATATCATTCTTTGCTACCCCCTTTTTTTTCACATAATCACCACCGTGATCGCGTAACGTAACAACATTAACATGAAACCAATAAGCGAAAACTTCCAACCACAATTGTACATTAGAAATGTGCAATACGATGATTATAAGTCGTCAAAATGCACTTTATCTCGATAACAACGTCTGGGTCGCCGACTGGAAAATTCTTAAGTCGCTGTTCATGTTTGCTTTTTATCATGGCCGCGCCAAACCGGGAAATTGTGCAAATTAATTCTTAAAAACCTTTACAAACCATCACCATAAAACCCGCCCCAAACAGCTTACCTGTTAAATTAAACATTTCATATCAATAGCATATGGAATGACGCTCGAGACAGGTTACGAACTACTACGCATGGAGAATTACTGGAAAGTTTATAGAAAATAATCTGAGGATTAAGATAGATTGAAGAAATCCTATCAGGCCAAAGGAATAGCAGCTATAAGAGGGGGGCATTGGGATTTTCGGTTTTGCGGTTTTGGCTATTTTTTAGATCAGTTTTTCGGTTTTGGCGTTCATTGCGGTTCGCGTATTTTCCGTTTTTTAGCATTTGGTTTTCGGTTTTCGCGAAAAACTCTGACGGGTTTTCGGATTTGATATCCGATACGGTTT